ATGTAATTTGGTGGCTTGAAGCAAAAATTATGTAATTCGAATTTAAAAATTCTTAATTTTACTTCTAAAATTAATTTTATCATAAATAGAGTCTTACATTAGTGTTCTGTCAAAATTTTCATTGTTATATAGTTCAATTAGTTTCGAAATTGGAAGATAAAAATGTAAAAATCTTTCATCTTTTACTCAAATATCAGAAATCAAATTTAGAATTTAATTTAGTCGGAAAATACGAAATTTAATTGAGAACGTTTGTTTTAGTTTATTAAAATTTCAAAATCATTCAATCAGAAGATCTACTTTGTATATTCTTATTTAATAAATTGCAATAGAACATTAAATTTAATCTTAATTAATTCAAATTAGGATCGTTTACCATTTGAAATTACCCAGCTCTTTAGTATATAAACTACTGTTAATACAGTTAAATGTCCTAAAAGGAATTTTTATACATCGACTTGTATATATATGTAAAAAAAATTTCGGGGTAATCTATCTATAGTGAGAGTTTTAAGTGTTAAATAATAAAAATAATATGAAATCAATATTTAGAAAATTTTGGAATTAGAAATTTAAAATTTTTTTTTTAAATATTTTTTGTATTGAATGTGTCATATAGCTGGTAGACGATTCTTTCATAAAATTTTCAAAAAATTTCCAATTCATTTTACTGCAAAATTGCTATTTTCTGGATATGCATTCTCGATTTCGGACCATCGGATTTTAGTTAATTTCTACATAGGTAATGTCGGCTATGAAACTTGTTTTACTTATTAAGAAATTGTTTTCTTCGACCTTTTCAAATATTAATTTAAATTATTAAACAAAAAAAGAAACTATGACACATACCATATATAGGTTATAAAGGTGAAGGTGACAAAAGAGTATACAATTTTGGAAAAGAAAATCAACAAAAAATAGACAAAATGGAATTTAAATAGATTTTTCATAACATAATAGGTGAAATAAAGCCGCAGGTGTAACATTGAATATTTCTTTTATACACCGTTAATAAAGGAAACAAAATTAAGATAAAAATGTAATGAAATTTTAATTAATTTAAAATGAATTATTTATATACAGGGTGCCATAATATAAATTCTTTTAAACCTTTACTAGCAATTATAATATGAACCGCAGGGGTATTTTTCGTATACGATAAAAAAGTACCCTAAAATGGAAGTTGTACAATGCATATTGAAAAATGATAGTTTTAGTATATTGTCTGTTAAATAAATATGGGCTAACTGGATATTATCTTTGAAAATATTTCAGAATAATGAAATTTCTCTTTAAAAATTTTGAAATAATCTTATTTTTTAAAGTAATTTTATGCTAGCTCTGGCAATTATCGAATAATAAGTACATTTAAAGACAAAATTTGAAATTGAAAAAATTAATTCGACATATATTTCGTCATAAATTCGACATAGGGTCATATATTTCGACCAAAAAAATAAATAAAATTGTAAAATTCTTTATTATAAAATTACAAAACTGCACCTTATTCTTTAATTTTTCTAACAATTCTTATTTATACAAGTAATTCTGAAATTACTTCCATTTCAGAAATATTTTAATACTCGTATAATATGTATCAGTAAGTGTTCTAACCACTTATTGGAATATTCACCTATATACACTCATTAAAAATAAATTTCATATTAATCTTTACATAAAGAGAAAATTACAAAACTTTCAAACCTTCTATACGTAAAGCTTATATGTTCTATGAGTATATGTACTCGATAATTATGTGTGTACATACAAAAAAATTTCCTAAATATTATAACTATATAAATATAACTATGCAATGTAATAATTATATGTTACATAAGTGTTAAGATAAGTGAAAAATTAACGGAGATCCTTTTTTAAAGAAAACAAAAAAAAAAGGTTCAAATATGTTGTAATCCTTTTTGTTTTTTTTCATATAGCGTATTCGATATTTTTATTTTTTATTGTAAAGTGAGCTTATAAATATGCCTTCTCCATATTAACTAAGATAAATTACTTTGAATACTCTTTGTACTTTTTATACCAAATTTCTTGTATATTTTATTTTTTATATGAAAATTTTTATTCTATATTTTCTCTTTATTTTAAATTATTAAATATAAAAGGATATTAAATTTACGAAGACTTATTATATATATAAAATAATGCATACCTGCATCTATATATCTGTATATTCATACTGTTATATTGATGAAAATTCTTTATCCATACATAATAGTAATTTAGTTATTAATCTACTTTTATTCTTAAATTATTATTAAAATAATTAAGTTATATATGATCCAGGATATTAACATTTTTTTTTCTCACTCTGTCTCTCTTCCTCTCTCTCTCTCTCAATTTTTTTTTTGTATTAGCATTCTCTTTTCTATAATATTTTATATACAATTATTTTCTTTTATTATTATTATATTGTATAAACGACAATTTTTCACTATACAAAAAGAAAATTAATTTAAAGCATAAAATGAGGCGTAATAAATTATTTTTATAACTATGTATATGTATATATATATATGTATGTAACATAAACATATTTGTTCATTCAATTATATTGGTACATCCTACTCTTATTTTTGTTATACACTTGAATTTTATGCCATTTTACAAAACTATACTCATACTCTACCATATATACATTTTATATAGAGTTTTCTTTATCAGTGCTCACTATATACCGGTGTATTTATGTATTATGTTTTTACATATACGGCAACTTCTATATTATAGGTTCAATAATTTATTAAGGATGTCACATAGAGTGAAATATAGTGATTTTGTCAATTTTGATTTATTTATTCTAGATGATATTATAAAGAGAAGAAAAAAAAAACAATGAGAGGATGAGAAAAAAATAAAGTATCTTAGATTGTGATAATTGAAAATAAATAAATGATTTTTGATGCTTTATATAAATCTCTCCAAAGTTCCCATACAATGTAAAGATATTGCAAAAAAAAAAAAATTTTTTTTAAATTTTTATTTTTTTTTTAAATAATTGGTGTGTGTATGCTGAATGGTATATGAATTTTTTCATGTAAACATTTTTTATATTATATAGAGTAAGCTTACACGTAAATTGTGTAAAATAATTTTTAAAAATAATTTTTATAGGCAATTTAATTTATGAAATTTTAAAAGGAAAAAAAAAAGTAATTAAGACGCAAAAGACTTTTTGCCAAAAATTTTTTTGTAATTGTTTTACAAGCTCGCTTAATAACCTGGTTAATAATTATTATAGGTATGAATGATTTTTATATTAGTATAAGATATTTTTCTTCATTTCGGATAATATTCTAAAATTTAAAGTGGATCATTTAGAGTAATTTTTCTTCACTTCGTCAAAGATAATTTCAAGTAAATATTAATTAGATTCAATTAAATCTATGAAAGTGGTTCTACATAAAAGTTATAACCTTTCGTATTTTTCTAAAGCGAGTATAGTTTTCCAGTTTTGTAATAACTTCTTGATTTAATAATTAATTTAAAATATATTTAAATTATTTTTAACACTAATTAGGGCGCACAATAGATCCTTATACGCGGTCGCGATGCACTGCTGCCGCCGCCGTACGAATCTACAATACTAATTTTTAAAATACAATTTGGTCTAAAGACAATATCCCATAATTTTATAAATAATTTTTTAAACTTTCCTGATTGACAAATTTCTATTAAAATATTGTGAAAAATTAAATTTTTAATTAAAATTCGTTTGTGAATTGTAGTTCATTCCCTATTTTAAATATCTTGAATAATAACTAATTAAATAGTCTTTGTGATGCAGAAATTTTACAAAAAATTTCCAAATTACTAAGACAGTTAGTAATTTTCATCTATGAGTCGTGATTCCGCTTTAGAATAAATTAGATTATTAATAATGAATTAATACTCTTAATCAAAATTTGTGCTCTAAATAAATAAGAATTATTAGACCTGTATCAAAAGTATTATGCATGATGAATAAAAAAGTTTGATAGATTCAGTTTTAAAACCTAGAATGCATCAAAATGGTGATCTGTTTTACCCCAAAAATCTCCTTACTATATTTGACAAATTGTTTTTAGATCAATTTAAACTTTTAATTGTTTTTTTTAGTTTTAATTATTCACATATAATTTAATTAATTTAAATTAAATTTTGAATTATTTTTTATTAAATTTATTTATAATTATTAATTAATTTATACATATTTCTTTATTATATCAATTATTGTTTTACAGTAATTTCATAAAATTAAATAAAATTTAAAAAAATAAAAATTCTATTGAAGGAAAACATAATTTCATTTTAATCTATATAACCAATGAATTTTGAAAATAATTAAAATAATTAATCTTTTAAATGGTATAAACTTCTTACATAATTTGTATATATATATATAAATATTATATGTATATATTTAGATGTTATATAAAAATATATAAATAATTTTTATTCTATTAATATTTTTGTAACCAAAATCAGTCATAATTATCATAAATCATATACAAAAATAAATATAATCAAACAAAATATTATTTTTATACATAATAAATGTGTGTGTTTGTTTGCTTTCTATGTTTACTGTATAATTTTATCTTATTATATAATATAAATGTGTATGCAATGTGATTAATTCCAATATTATAGCATATTATTTTTATATTTGTACATAAATATATTTATATTAAATATCTTTATTATTTTTAAGTGTATTTTGTTTTTTTTTTGTTATTGTTTTGGTGATTTTCTTTAAATATTAATTTTTCTTTTAATTTCTTGTATTCTATCATAAAATCCATGATATTTAATTTTTCTATAAATTAAAAATTTCTAAAAATAAAATAAATTTTTTTAAAATAATTCCAATTAATTAATTTTTATTTCTTTTTCTTTTTTTTGTATGTTTCTTACATATTTAATTATTCGAAATTGCAATGATTGTACATGGATGTTGAAACGAAAATGAAATAAATTGGAAAATAAAATAAAATTTATAGATTCATTTGCCACCACCACCTTCGACGACTTTTAATTCAACTGGGGTGCCAACAACACCATTAGCAACGCAACAACCGCGTTCGCAATTGCCACCATCATCACAAAAAAATATGAACGGTTATAATCATAGTCGTAAAGTGACAACAAAAAGACGCTACGAGGGATCAAAATTTTTGGGTACTGATGCTAAAAAATCAAATTTAATTGTTAATACACTGGAAATACAAATAATGAATAACAATAATAAAATTAGTAGTAACAGTAACAATAACAATAACAATAAAAATAACAATAATAATAATCTAATGTCCGATAATAAAAATAATGGTTTTTCTTCTCATCCTTATTGCTCCTCAACAAATGCATTGAAATTATCTTCAACAACAATATCATCATCAACATCGTCATCAACATTATCATCATCACCATTACAATCATCAACATCATTATCATCATTATTATTGCCAACAATAAAATCATCGGCAACTGTATCTACTGCTTCTGTATCAAATAATACAAATGATATTATTAAATTACCATCTGCAATTGTAACAACAAATAATTTACATAATACAACGCAATCAACAAATAATAATAATAATTTATTAACATCAACAATTAATAATAATAATAACAATAATAATAATAACAATAATAATAATAACAATAATAATAATACAACACATACTTTACAATCAATGGTATCAACAATATCAACATCATTTACAAAATCTCGTAATGGTGGAAATGATCGTAATAAATATCAACGTGATTATCGGCATCATTCACCATCTTCAATATATTCTCGTCGTTATAATAATCATCGACATCATCATCATCATCATGTATCGTCAACATCGTCATCATCGTCGTTCGTTGTTAATTCATCGTCAACATCGTTTACAAAATCGACACGTAAACGACGTCGTTCAATATCCGGTAAATCATCATCAGCAACACCAAAGAAAAAATCCCGAGCTGGTAAAGAGCGTATACCACAACCTAAAAATACTGTTGCTATGTTAAATGAATTACGTCATGGACTTGTTTATAAATTAGAATCACAAACTGGTCCAGTTCATGCACCATTATTTACAATATCTGTTGAGGTAAGTTTTCTTTTCTTTTTTTATTTTTTTATTAATAAAAAATTTATATTTATTTTTAATTCTCTAAACACTCCCAATTAAATTTTAATTTGGGAGTGTTTAAGTAGTTCCCAGAGTGCGTTCAAAACTCTAATTTACTCTAAGGTTGAAATTTTATCAACAACAATTCACTGCGATGTTCAGTAAATAACAATGTCCAACCACAATATTAACTAGTTATTGTCGCACTATTTTCGGGAGAGCAAGAGAAAATATTATTAAGAGATATTTTTAGACTTATAAAATACTCTTTAATCGAGTGTACTATATGAAAAGACTTATTTGATTAGAAGTTTACCAAGATTTTTAACTAACATTATATTTTAATTTTCTTCTATTATTAAATAAATATTTCGATATAATAAGTAAAGATGTTTAAATGTTTACATACATAGATACGCATCAAAAACAAATTATAAGGATAATAATAAAAATTTTTTGTACGTGACAATTTTGTTAAAAAATAGTTTTGAATGGATATTTTATTTTAAGATTTTCATATGAATGCTTTTGTGAATTCTTTGCGATAAGAATTTGTAATGAAAATAGAAATGAAAAAAAAACATTTTTTTATTCTTTTACACTATATCGGTCCACAAATATTGTCCAGTTGAGAATCTATTCTATTTTATAATACTTTTAATAATATAAATGAAATAGTTAATCAATGAGCATTGGAAGTTTTTACGACAGAGAATGTCGAAATGATTGCTTTAAGACAATTCACTGGTTTTACCTTGTTTAAAATAAAATAATAGATAAAATAATATTGCTCTTATTATTCTACTAACTATAATTGGTTCTTTAATTTTTAAATTAGAATTTCCAAAAAATATTTGTTCTCATAATGCATAGCCATTTGAGAACTACTGAGTAAATTTTTTACAAATTTCGATAATATGAAATTTTTTATATATTATGCGTCAAATTGCTTGTCAGAAATGTATGTAAAATACACAAAATGTAATAATTTTTTGGAGAAAAATTTAATGAGAAAAAAATTAGATTATTAAATATAATTCGACCTTGTTTTTAACGCTATTTAAATGAAAACCATAATTTGGCATTTTTTCTATGACACTATATAATTTATACTCTTGTTGTATTTTATTGAAACAACTTTAGTCACATTGCTACTAGATTACATTCATCTATTATTCTACAATTATAGAAGGTTTAAGGAGATATTTGTATCACAAGAATTTGAAAAGAGAACATAAACTATTTTTGAACATAATTATTTGTATTTAGTTTAGAAAATAAATAATTAAGCGGTAATATAGTCAAAGTGATAATTGCATAGTTATAGAACAGCTGTTATAATAGATATTTTTGAATGTTCCAGTTTGTCATTCGTTTTCTAATATTAAAAAGTATTTAAATTCACAACTTAAATTTCCAAAAAATGTTCATATAATAATTGTTTATATATTTGTACGCGACCTTACACCATTACTCTTTATATCGCTTTTATTGCATGTATTCGAAAATAACCGTGTTTAAGTTTAACATACAATTTTATTAACGGTATCATTTATTTTTTTCTAACATAAAAACGCCTCCTCATTATTCTTTTATTATAGCTTATATTATATACCATGTAATTTTATACAAACATATACATAACTATATGCATTATAGATAAAATGAGTGATAATTTTCTAATCAAATAGAAAAATTGGCGAAGGAAAAAAGAAAAAGAAAAATGTATAGAAATAATTTTTTTTTTATTTTTTGCTTTTTATTTTTTCCCATTTTCTTTATTTTCATTCACTCTCTCAATATATAATCTCATTTTCAATAAGAACTCTTTAAATAGGTGTAGTATATATACGAAAAGAATAAAAATTGAATATAAAACCCCTATATATACCCCACCACCTACACATAGAATTCAAAGTTATACGAAGAAAAGAGAATAAAAAATAAAACGCTTATATACGCTTAATAAAAATTATACTTGAGAAAAAGTTGACTTACAATTTTTTATTCTTATTTTATTATTGTTTTCTTTTTATTTTCTTTTTTCTCTTTTCATAAAAATATTGAATGAAAATGTTTAACAATCGATTGATTTTCATTATTATATCAATCGAATCGAATAAAATAAAGAAAAAAAAAACAAAACAACAATCGATACTAAATTCAAAGAAGAGAACCAAAAAAAGAAAACGCAAAGTGAAACAAAAAAAAAAGAGAAATGAAAAATGATAGGCGTAAAATTTTATCAATGATTTAGATTTCTTATTCACGGTAGTCAGATGCATATCAGGTAATTGGTATTGGGGTAGATTTACTTGAATAAGAAAGAGAAAACAAAAGTTTAGTCTAGTACTGTACTGAATGAGAATATTTATAATAAAAATTTTTAAATTAATTTCAAAATTAATTTTTATAATATGATTTCCTCCTTTGTATTATTTTAATTGAGTTGATATTTTTCATTTTTTTTTTGAAGAAAATTATAAAAACAAATAAAATTTATAAAAACAAAAAAATTATTGAGAAAATTAATGATCTATTATTACGACAAAGTGAAGTTGTTTGTTGTATTCTTTATTGCTCTTGTACTTTAAGACTTACATAATTTGTTCATATCAGGCAATTATGGACTTAATTAAAATTAAAAAGTTTTTAGAGAGGTATGTAATATTTCTTGAATTCTTGAATTCTTTTGCTAAAATATGACCACTTTCAAGATTTCCTAGGTAAAATTTATTTATTGCTTAAATTTGATATTTCAATTTCAATTTTCGACCGTGAGTGGACGGACAACGATAGAGAATTTCACAGAATTGATAATTCATAAAAAAATATTGCATATCAATAGGCGACTAAATCTTATTAAGTACATAAACTATTTTAATATTTTGGGTTTTATTCTATTAAAATATAAGTGTTTTCGTAACTAGAAGGTACGGTGGAACGTTTTAAAATTCTTTTGGTAAATCATTGAAATATTAAAAATAATTAATTTTAATAACGGTAATAATATTTTCTCACGAGTATCCTAATTTCATTATTATTCTATTCGATTTGTCAGCAAAATTTATTACTTTTGCTGATTTATTATTATTTTTAATGACAATTTTCTCTTTTTTCTTTTGTCAATTATAATTTATTATGCGTTAAGATATTTGAAATAATAAATAAATAATAATATTGAATATATTTGTTGTATTCGTATATACATATGTAGCAATTTCTCTAAATATAATTGTTATATGGAATGGTCACTCATTTTTTTTTATAATACTCGTATTATATAATAATCAATACCACGAAGATAATGTTTCTTAATTTATTTTAATGTTATATAGTGTGGTGTATAATTCCTGTATATTAACGTATATATGTATAAACGAGTAGGAAATATTTTATGTTCTATAATTTTAATGCTCTTTTGAAATCGTTAAATTAAATTTAATAGCCCTAATTATTATGTTTTAATTTCTTTTGTTATAAAAGGTAAACGTGTATGTATGCATTATCATTTCATATATATATATGTATAATTCTATTTACAGGCGTAGGTTTTGATTTCGAAATTAAGTTCGAATAAATATTTGTAGAAGGCACGAAAAAATTATTTATTGCTATTTAGTTTAGAAATTTTATTTTTAAAATATAATTTAGATTAGTGATTTGAATTTAATTTTGTATACACGTTTGAAGTGGGAGTATGTTATATATTGGGTTCATGTTCGAAATTATAATATTAAATAATATTAGTATTCAAAATAAGTATAAAATTTTATGATTTACATTATAAATTTAAAGATTTATGAAGCTATTTTTAGAAACATTTAAAAAACTGCAATCAAATCCGAGTTTGTAAAATTTTTTTTTGCTAAAATTTTTGATTAAGATTTTGTTTAGATTTATTTTGAAAACTTAAAATTTTATGTATTATATTAACTATTTAAACAAGGTGCACAGAAAAAAATCAATATTTGTCAAAACTCGATTTTGTTTCAAGTTAATTACAGCAGTTTACCCTACTGAAAGAGGTACATAACGTATATTTTTGCTTATATGAAAATTTACACATTTAATAACATTGTGAGTGCTATTATTTGCCAACGAAATTTCTTCCTTAAATCACCTTTCTTTATATTTATTTCAAAATATCCCCATTTCTAATAGCTCTATATATAATACTATGAAACTATTTTAAGAATTTCCATATTTATTTTTAACTATATTAATAATTGCTGTATAGCTAACCCTTTTGTCCCGTCAATCAATTTAAATGAATGAAAATAAATTTAGAACTGCTATAGCAAAACAAACGTAAAATTACTAAATTTATTTTACATAAATATTCCTAAAGCAGAAAATAGAATTTTCTAAAATAGTGTAAGACTAGGCATTTTATGTATTATAATATAGTTAAAGGTAAAAGTAATAATTTAACTTATAAAATGTCATAAAATTGTAAGGATATATATATATATATATATTTTATAGCCCTAAACAAATAAAGATGAAAAGATCAGAAAGTGTAAAAGCTAATAAAAACTTTTTTGTTTCTACTTCTGTTTTTGTATTTTTTATATTTATTATGGTTTTTTATCTGCTGCTATTATTCTAATGAAATGAGAGAAAATTTTTTGAACAAAAAAAAAAAAAAGAAAGGATAATAATAATATTTGAATTATTTCCGAGTAAATGGTGTTTATTTTTTATTTATAGAGAGAGAAAAATTGAAAAAAATTATTTTTGCATAAATGAAAATATAGGAATAAATTTTTTTTTAAAAAGATTTGTTTAATAAGGGAATAAAGGATTTAGAAAAATAAAAATTGATTATTTATCTTAAAATATTTTCAATTTAGAATAAGAAATAGGTGGGATTTAATTATTGAAATAATTAAACAATAAGTTTTAGAGGATTTTAATTGTTTGTGTAACATTTTGATTTTAATTTGAAAATAAATTTAAAGGGGATTCTTTTTAAG